AGGGAGATTCATTGCTTAGGGGCCAATGAATTTCTGTTAATGGTGAGGGGAAGTTTTTGTAATAGTGATTAGGAACACTTATCACTGAATTAGACATGTGAAGAATATTGACATGGCAAATGTTTTGTTTCATGTGTATTTACTACAATAAAAACACATGTGTTAAATAAGCCACTAGATGAACAGAACAGAAACAAACAAAATAATTAAACGGCAATTTTATCATCTACATTTATCCAAGGAAAAGGACTAGTGGCTTGATTTGTGTAGCCTGTGGCTTGATTTTTCATAACTCTTCCACAAGAAAAAAATTAGGCCTTTATCAATGAGACAGTTATCACGGTGGGAATGCCAAAACAGTAAACTACCTCCAACAAATAATCAAAACTCTTCCTAAGACAGCGTTCTTAGTGCTTTCTTTACTCTAAAGGCTGTACAGGAACCCAGAGCTTAAAAGAAAAAGAAAATGTACATTTTCCCAACACCTGTCCTTTTGTCTGTTTTTCTTCCTATATCCTTCTCTGTGTCGGGGATACAACTCAAATTCTATGTTCTTGTAGTCATATTACTCACTGGAGAAAGGGATCCCACAGAGATGTCTGCACAGAGGTGTGAGTGAAGGGGACAGAGAAGAACAGATGTGAAGCAAGAAACATGAAGCAAGTCCCTTGGTGGCGGAAAGAGGAGAGGAAGGGTCTTCAACAAGGAGATATGGAGATTTACCTAAGGTGAAACCAGGGACCCAATGCCAGAAAGAGACCATTTTATTCCCAAATGAAACAAAAAGATATGCATTTAGAGCAAGCAAATAGTGAATCTCAACCTTGTTCCTCTCAGAGACAGAGGTTTGTGGACCAAGGTCAGGGAAATTTGAAGGAACACGTATGCTGATTCTAGGGCAAGGCTAGAAAGAGAAGTTATTTTTAGGGAAGATTTTAAAATGCACACATAAACAGCACTTCAAAACACTAAACTTACTGAAGTACAGAAGGAGAAAAAGAGAGAGCATCCTTGGAAAGGGACAGAGAAGAAGCATTACCACTTTCTCAGGTGCTGCAGGGACATCTGGGGTCAGGAAGAAAGACCAGGGGAGGCCTTGAAGGAAGTCCACATGCCTGGTCTGACTTGACTTTCGTTTTTGATTAAAGAACAAATATTGTAGGTCTTCGTGAAGATCAATAGCCACATGCTAGGAATATTCTATATTTAATGCCTTGGTGATCTAAATGCTTATTTCAGTCTATTCCCTAAGTTGATGAGCCACTGAAGCTGCATCTCCTATATGTGAATCAGAAACTCCTTTTTTGCTGTCTCTAAACCAGAAACTCCGAACTCTCTGTCACAAATTCCTAGTTTCTTGGAGCTATGTGATCTTTCTATCTACCCTCCTTGGTTGCATGACTATTCTCCAACTCAGTTTTCATATGTCTGCTGAAAAAAGATAGCTTTCCAAGTTCAACAAACAAGTTCTCCATCCCATCACTTCCCTTCCCCATGGTATTTGGACCTCATTCTTCTCCCTATGGTCTCCTTGGTATCAACATCACATATTCTACAAGAAGACCATGACTACTTTCTAATTCATTTTCATTTGCTTTTAGGACAGAGGTGCCCTTATGCTCACCTTCCCTCTGTATCATATGTCCAAGTTTAAAAATCCAGGTAGAACTGTGTCCTTTCATCCCCACTTCCTCACAAAATTAGGGTTCATCTTTTTGTCATCTTTCAAAAAAGCTTTTCTATACAGAAGCTCATCCCAATGAAGCAACCTCATTTAACACGAATTCACTTTGGGACTCTATGAACCCCAGGACGCTACTATTATGTTCAGAAAAACTACTAATTAGACTTAGACTGAGCCCTCTACTTTCCCATCGCAGCTGGGGATGGGGCTGAGGAGTTTATTCTCTCTCCTTTTGTAGACCCAGGTCTCACTAAGGCAAAGATTATGAAGCTTCAGAAAACAACTGTGCCTTCAGGGAAGGTCTGTCCTTTGGGGAACACTGTAGTCCTCTACAGTTCCAACAGAAACCCCAAAGGTAAACTGATTCCCAGTGCATTTACTCAAGAATCCATTCTTCCAAGTCCATCATTCCTGTCATTATTGGGTATTTGTTACAAACGCAAACATCATAACTCATCTGAATTATGTGCAAGACATGGAAGACTGAAAGATAGTTGGGTGGAAGTCCTGATAGCTGCTATCATGTAGTCATCCTCCAATTACTTTGTCATTTCCTACCCTTACACAATTGCATTTATTGTGGGATTTCCTCTAGGCATTTGCTACCAATTTTATAACAATCAGTCTATTTGATTTCAATAAGGATTTGAGAACTAAAAGCATGAAAAATAAGAGTACCATACTGAAAGATCTGAAATTATATTAAAATTAGCATCAATATTGATCTCACTTTTACCCATAATAATAATAACATATCACTTAAGGATATAAACTATATACCATGGAAATGACCACAAATTAGCATGAAACCATTGCTTTTCAACCAATCCCTCACAGAAGAAACTCATTATCTGTAACACCTACATAATATTTAGTGAGTATGAGCAAAATCCAATGAAAACAGGGAAATTTTACTCAATTGTCTCAAAGATGTAACACACTTATCAAAAGTGAAAAATGACATTTGCTGCTCTTGGTTGCAAAAGGTCTAGCTTTGGAATAACGTCTTTTTTTCCTTCAGGAAAGTGAATTCTTCCCTCTAAAGAATGCATCACTGTCAGGTTATCTCCAAACCCAGAGTTTGAGGAAGGACACAAAAATAGTTGGCAAGAATTTATTTCCAGAAAGGGCACTCTGAGAAAATGGTTCAAGACTGTAGATGCTTTGTCTTCTATCTACCCCCTCTGCAACCCTGTATGGGTGTGGGTGTGCACACACATGCATAGGCATCCCACTGCTTTGAGTCTTTCCCTCCTGAGTAGATCTAGGCATTGAGAGTTCAAACTGCAAACTCCATAAAATTGTGACATAACCACTTTATATTCTACTGCATGAGAGACACATCACCACCTGCTATGCAGTCTTCCCCACCTCTAAACATGACGCATAAGCCTGATCCCAACTTGTAATGTACAGAAATTACAGAGCATGGAAGAGCATGTTTAATTATAACATGGTGTTAAAATAGGAAAAATAGAGACTGCAAGAAATTCCATAGGAAAAGAAACAGAGGAGAGAGAGGGGGAGAAGGAGAGGCATACAGGAGGTGAAGCAGGAGAGAGAGAAAGAACAAACTATTGACTCAGAGACACTGATGGGCCAGCCAATCAAATGGCAATGTGTGACCTTATTTCTATCCTGATTTTTAAAAACCTGTAAAAATTCTTATATTTACAAGATAATTGATCATTCAATACTGACTAGACATTTACTATTAAAGACGTTAAACATTTCAGCTATGATGAAGACACTGTGGTGTTTTTTTAAGTCCTTGGTTTTTAGATATTTTAGTTGAAATATATGTAGGTGAGTTATATGACATCTGGGATTTTCTACAAATTAGTATGAGAGAGGAGGTGAATAGAGGTGAAGATGATACAACATTGGCCAAGTGTCTTACTCTCTTATACCTGCCATAACAAAATATCACAAGTTGGGTAGTTTTAAAAACCAGATTTTTTTCTCTCTCTCACAGTTCTGGAGGCTAGAAGTTTAAGTTAAGGTCTTAGCAGAATCAATTCTTGTTGAAAGTGTAAAGAAGCTGTCCCATGCCTCTTTCCTAGTTTCTGGTGGCTGCCAGCAATCCTCGTCATTTGTTGCTTCCCAATACCTTCCTCAGCACGTGGTGCCTGTCTTCCCTTGTATGTAATGCTGTGTCTGGTCTGGTCTCCCCTTTTATGAGCTATCACTTGGAAGGGAACCACTCAATTCTAGTATGACTTCGTTTAACGAATAAAAGACAAAATACCTCTTTCCGAACAAACCGCATCCTCAGGCACAGGGGCTGGGACTTCAGCATTATCGTTTTGAAAGACGCAACTCAATTGGGAATACTGTAAACTAACAATTATTGAAGGTAGGTAATGATAGCTATTGTTTGGGGCCTGTTTTCTTTTTTCTTTTTTTAACTTAATATTTCATCGTTTCCTTTATTTAATTTTATTTTATTGGGGTTTTTACAGCTCTTATCACAATCCATACATATATCCATATGTACATATCTGTACATATGTTGCCATCATCATTTCCAACACATTTTCTTTCTACTTGAGCCCTTGGTATCAGCTCCTCATTTTTTTTCTCCCTCTCTCACTTCCTCCCCCATGAACCCTTGATATAAAAAAAATTTTTTCTGGTTTTACACCAACCGCTGTCTCTCTTCACCCACTTTTCTGTTGTCCATCCCCCTGGGAGGGGGCCATACATCGATCCCCCTTTCCCTTACCCTCCTAGTTTCATTACTCCCCTTGTTGGTCCTGAGGGGTTTATCTGTCCTGGATTCCCTGTGTTGAGAGCTCTGATCTGTACCAGTAAGGTAGAATTGGGGTCATGATAGTGAGGGGGTAGGAAACATTAAAGAACTTGGGGAAAGCTGTATGTTTTGTCGGTGCTATCCTGCACCCTGACTGGCTCGTCTCTTCCTTGTGGCACTTCTGGCAGGGGATGTCAATTGACTAATGATGGGCTTTGGGTCTCCACTCTGCCTTCCCCCTCATTCACATCGATATGAATTTGTTTTGTTTTGGGTCTTTGATATTTTGGTCTCTTTTCTATATGTTTGAAATATTCCTTAATTAAACATTAAGTTAAAGATAAATGATCTTGAGAAAACGTCTCAAGTGCTGATGAAGGAAGTGCTAGGCATATGTGCATGAAGGTGTAATATTCACCTAAAAAAGCACCATATCACCAAGAGTCCAATCTGAAATCCCTTCAATTGTTCTAGTCCCTCTCATCTCCCTCCAACCAACTATGCTCAAAATCTTCCCACCCTTGTATCTCCCCACCGATACAATATGGCCCTTAGGTGGGCTATTCAAGAGCCAACCCTGCCACGACCAAGCAATTTGCAGAGTGCACCTTTGACATCCTTATTGCGGAGACTGTACACAAACGGGTTGGCCAAGGGTGTGATTGCTGTGTACATAATTGCAGCTACCATGTCCTGATCCTGGGAGTTCTGGGAAGGAGGCTGGAAGTAGACCCAGATGATGGTACCATAGAGGAAGCCCACCATAGTGAGATGAGATCCACACGTGGAGACAGCACGTCGACGACCAGCAGCTGAAGGCAAACGTAGGATGGTGGCCCCAATACGGACGTAGGAAAGTACAATGAGGGTACAGGGCCCCAGCATGAGGAAACCGCCCTCAAAGAATATGGCCATTTCATTGGAACGCGTGTCTGAGCAAGAGGCTCGCAGAAGTGGTCTGTGGTCACAGAAGAAGTGCGGAAGGTTAACGTGACCCCCAGCATCCCCGACCCATTGGTGGGGCAGAAGGAGTCCCACATGTAGCATCGTGTGAAGTATGGACACCACCCAGCTGAAGGCCAGTAGGCGGGCACAGAGTCGCCGATTCATCACCAAAGCATAATGAAGAGGGTCACAGATGGCAACATAGCGATCTAGAGCCATGACGGCAATGACAAGTGTATCTGTAACTCCAAACGCATAGAAGAAAAAGAACTGGGCCAAACAGCGGGCAGCAGGAATGGTTGGGTAATCAGAGACCAGATGGGACAATAACTGGGGCAAGGTGACTGTGGAGAGTCCCATGTCTATCACAGACAGCCCACGGAGCAAATAGTACATAGGAGATTGGAGCCTGGAGTCCCAGGAGATGAGCAGTACCAGAGTCACATTGCCCACTATGGTGCTCAGGTAAATAGTCAGGAACAGAAGGAAAAGGAGACTGTGGGGGACTCTAGCTCTTGAGAGCCCAACGAGGAGGAAGACTGGAGAATGTGAAGCATTAGGAGCACAGCCCATAATGAATGACCATGAACCTGTCTGAGAGGGTTAAAATGTTTTTTAAAAAAAATGTAAGTCATGGGTTAGAAGTCAGGAATCCTAACGATTGTACTTCATTCTTTGTCATTCAAGCTCCTTAAACACCTGGAACCAACCCAGATCCAGCTGTGCCCTTTTCTTCAAGTCTAGTATTTCACTCTTAATTTATTATAGGACTTTCTCCCCGTTTCTTCCCTTTTTCTCATTCTAGTGACTCTTTCCATCTGTCTCCAAATCCTGAAAAAAGTCTCTCTGTACTAAGTCAGGTATAAAGTGGGCAAGTCCCATCCTCATTGCGAATTGCCTGGTAGGAGCTCAGCATGACACCAAGCGCCAAAGTGTGGAAATGGATCCAGCACATGCTTTTTCCCACTTCTCCTTCCTCATCACCAGCTACTCATGTGAGACACTTCCTCCAACCCTAGACTCCTGGAGCTGGGTCTGAGCTCACACGGTAGATGAAGACCTATGCCAGCGTCCATGCCAGATGAACATGGGCCCGCTGCCCATGCAGCAGCTCTTCTTTGGCCTTAACCAGCTGGAGCTAGGTTAGAGCTAACAGGTTAAAAGGACACAGTCCTTCCAGACTGACAAAAATGCATTTGCCAGCCCCTGTTGTTCATTAGAACAACTGATAGAATTTCACAGAGAGCTTAATCATACTTATGCTATTGGTTTGCTGTGACTAAAAAAGGTACAAAAGAAGAGACGCCTAGGATGAGGTCTTAGAAGGATCTCGGCATAAAGCTCTTAGGTCCCAAAGAGGAACACATCACCCTTTCCTGTAAAAGTCACCAACCAGGAAATTCGCTGGAGCTTCAGATTCATAGCTCTTGTCAGTCTCCCCACATGACCATGATAAATGACATCATGCCTCCTGAGGCTTAGTCAGCATGGGGTGATTTCTCTTGGTCTGGTCAATCCCTACTTCATAACCTCA